AAAATTAATGCTTTGAGGCCTGAGCAAAACTCTGTGTGTGTTGACTGAGAAGTTCCAATTTGCCCCACAACACTGTCTGTGTCAATCGTGTATCCAGTTCATACTGATTTATATACAGTTCCGTATTCATTTCTAATGTTCAGAACTACCATTAAAATACTTAGGGAAGGATACTCAAATGTTTTTTCTTTGTGTACATGTCTTTGTTTGCACACATGGGTACAAACTGATCGATCCATTGCTAGCATCATTTTCAGACAGAGCATTTTCTAATTTTGTGTTCGACTGGCCTTGGATATCAAAGTTCTGAACACAAGCACTGGCCACAAAATATGGCTTCTTGTGGCTAAAGCTCTTATACTGTTTCAGTCAGATGTTTCTCTCATTCTGATTATGATAATGACAATTTAAATTTTTCGGAAAATGATCTGGACGGTGAATTTACACCAGCGGCAGCTGAGCAGTCAGCTGTTTGTTCTGATAAGGTCTATCCAGGAGGACCCGTTTCATTTGCAAAGAATGTGACAGTCACCCAAATTTGCATCCAACGGACTGTTTCAGGCAGTACTATACTACGGCTAAGCTGCACTGAAATCATTGAGCTACAGCCTGTACGTAACTATGCAAAGTTAAAATTATGTGAGTATATGTCAAACATTGCCATCAGCACTCTATGAGAACACAGAGCTTCTGAGTGACAAACTAACCCAGAAATGTCTCATAACTTTTGAATTTGTTAGGTTAATGAACAAACTTTAAAGTTTTATGCTCAAATTTTGATATTCACTGCTCTTGTGGCTGCAAAACCATGATAAGTGACATAACACCCACTGAATTATTTTTTTCCTACTAACTATAAACTATCCCAAGAAACTTATCATGGAAACCAAAAATGACTCCTTGAGTATGAAAGTGCATGAGGCGGGAGAGCTGGCGAGAGACTGTGTTTCTTTTCTTTCAGACCATGATGACAGCGATGTTCTGCAAAGGACCTGCTACATGATGATGATGATGACTAACTATAACAGTATCAAACAAAATATATAATCAGATTCAAAATGTACATTCATTCCTAGAAAAAATACACTTTTGTAGGATTATAAATCTATTAATTTCCAGTTGTTGTTGTTGTTTTTTTTTTTTTAACACTAGTTACTCTGCCATTTTTGTAACAAAATTAATATGTGGCAAGTGGCCTTCAAGAGTTAAACCTGTTCAGCTTGAAGAAGAAGAAGAAGAAGAAGAAAAAGGAGGAGAAAAAAAAGAAGAAAAAGAGGAAACAGAAAAGAAGAAGGAAGAAGGAGGAGGAGGAGGAAGAAAAGCAGAAGAAAGAGATGAAAAAAGAAGACACATTTTTTACCAGTCAGGCTCCCAGGTCGACCCAGCCTTGAGTGGGTACCGGGTGCAGTCCCGGGAAGTAGAGGTGACCTGTGTGATGCTGACCATATCACCCATCTTGTGCCGTTTGGTCTATAAATTATAGGTCTAGCCCTATACGCCTAAAGGCATGGACAAGGGGTCTTTTACTTGTTTTTTTACTTACAGATTAAAGCAACTGCCAGTGTAGCAAGGAAGCAAACATCATGACCACAACAGCAAGACAAGCTAAACACTTACTTCATGTGGTAAGACTGTTATCGATATTTCAGGACTGCTATGGTTGATTTTTAACATACTTCCATAACACTGCTTAACTGTGTGTTCTCAACAAGAAGGTTATGGCCATTGAGTGTAGCCACTCCAATGAGTCCACAAGTCCCTTAGAACCACCTCATCTATCTAATGGGCTCAATTTCGCCTAAGGGACTTAACATCCAACAAAGTTTCATCTAATATTTTAGAGTTACAGTCTTTGCTGTTCACAGTGATCGTATTTTATATTATGTTATCATAATGGACATCAATACACACTGGGCATTCCCATGTATGCTCAGTTCTCCAAGGCAGCAGCCATACCAAGGTAAATCAGCTGATTATTTCCATATGCAGTTGGTTATTATACATTTCTTATCTCAATCTAAAAGATGGCACAGACAGGCTTTAACTGGCTTTACTTGCAGGTCACCTAACTATGATATTTTTCTGGCTAGTATTTATTTCCGGTGGTCACAGATGTGTTGATTTGATTTGATTCAAGAACCAACATCACAGCACTCGGGGCATTCCCATAAGCGCTCCGTCCCCATCTTCAGCAGCCAGCGAAGAGTTCCGATACTAATGGTGCCAGTAGCTTTCTGATTAAACGTCTGTCTTGCCTTTCCTCTGAGCCTTGAGCTTCTGCCAGAATCTCTCATCACCCCCAACTGCATCAATCTCACCAGACTGTGGTGATCCATCTGCTCCTCCGCATTGTACATGCTCTCCCACAAGGCACTAACCACGTCTGCCCTATCATGTAGCAGTATTCCACCAAGTTGTGCAGAACCATGCAGTCTGTCCGCCTGTTCATTTCCCAACACACCGGCGTGACCCGGTGAAAAAATCCAGACAATACTCCTCACTCGTGTCCTCGGCAGCAAAGCATGCCACTCTACACGAAGCATACCTGTTCTGATCTACCTCAGCATGCTTTCTGAATCAGTTACATGTCTGGTATGTCTGAATTACAATTTGTGTGTGTGTCGTGTTCTCTAGCCAGCGGAGAGCTGCAGTGACCGCCTCCACCTCCATTCTTAAGCTGGATGTTGTGGTATCATATCCTAGGCTCTCCTGCACCAAACGTCGATCATTAACTTTTGCTAAAAAGTCACAAATGTGTCAGTGATTTAACCATAGATTTCTCTTTCAGATATGTCTCGTTAAATGACTATGTGTCTATGTGTACAGTTGTTCGTATAAAGATCTACTAATGTAATGTGTTGATGAAGGTTCTCTAGCTGCAACAGTCATTTGTCATTTGTATCTGTGAAAAATTGAAGCCGACTGACTCTACTTTTCACCTGATTCAGTATCTTTTCATATGCTTAACTGTTAGTTTCTTTGTTCATTCCTAAAGACCCAAGACATGTCAGTATTTTCTTACATCATCCTTGTCCTCAACTTCTGCATCTATTTCAAAGATATGTTCTTGCAGTGGTTCTTTCTTTGCGGCGCTGTTGAAAGAAAAAAAAGACACACATAGAATTATTCTATAGTGTTTACTGCTTTGGTTTCATTCTTACACACACAGTCTCTGGCGTCTTCATCTTCTAATTGTGGGGGAATTAGTGTATCTAAATGATCTAGTGGACTTTTTTGGTGGCACAGTTACTAGCAGATTCTTGCCACGTGGGGCAGGGTGACAGTTCTGAAGGATTAGACTAAAAGAGACTTGCCAGTTAGACATGGCAGATAATTGCCTCTGATTCAAGCAGACTGTCTGTGATTTGGACATTTTTATTTTTTAACAAGTTTAGTTTTTGAACTTAAATGTTAAAGGGAAAAACCTTAGAATACAGTGGATCAAGAAGGAAAATACAGTGACAAGATCTTAACATTTAGAGCAACATTTCCACACCCACAAAATTAAATAATTTGACCACACTAAATGCTCTTCTCAGAACATTAATGAAAAGCAGGCTTTCTTGAAGTCGAGGCAGAAATTGACCACATCAAAGGTAGGCTCAGAATATTCATCTTGTCAATGAAAAATATATGAGAGAAAGAACTGACAAGGGACTGAGAATTCTCTGGTAAACCAAGTTGAGAGCAGCATTCTTCAAAGGATCTGCTATATGATGAGTAGAAGGACACACTAAGCCAATAAAATATTCTTCAAAAACTTTGAGGAAACCAGACACAATAACAATAATTATGTCCCATCTCTCCTATGTTTATGGGAACAGATGAAAGTCGCACCTGAACCGCCCTGCTTAAAAAGTGTTTAAAAGTGTTTTAAAAATGTATGAAATGGTAAGATGACCAACTTCACTGTACCAGACTCTCCTTCTGTGTTTGCCTTTAATAGAGTGGTTGGAACATTGTGGTTAACTGCTAGGCTGCAATATCTGCACCAAACAAGCATGTCCTAGGAGGGTACTAATTAGGGGTGTTTTCTTCAAAGTCAGAATGCATTTCCCAGCCGGCCCCCTCTCCAACAGCCCTCACTAGAGTGCTGCTCCAAGCCACTAGTTTTGGTGAATTTAACATTTCTTAATCAACATAATTGGCACAAAGAAATCAGACCACAATTATAACAGATACTGCTCATAGTAGATTGAACGTGGTTGAGTTTTTTGTTTTGTTTTACAAAAATGGAATGGACCAGAGAGACAGGGAACCAACAACCTGCATACATATAAGCCAGATCTGTAAAGCAGATGCGCATGACAAAACTGAAGTTCTGGATCAAGATCAAACTCCAGAAGTGGACAAATAACTAGAACTTTCCACAGGAATTTACAGCCGGGAAACGCTGAAAGAGGAGGGATACAATCTGTAAGCAGACTGTTGGTTTCTCACCTATGAGGCAGATGTGCTCCGACTTCAGAGGAAATTACACATGGAGATCACAAGATATGGAAGAGAATGCCTCTCTATGCTAGTCAGCAAGCCACCTGAGGTAATGATATCCAAACAACCCCACATCTCATGTACAAAACCGCACAAAAACTTCAAGATTCCATAACGATGAAAACAATTCCAAACATGACCTTGGTCCGCAGACTGACCCATCCTTAAATAGGTACCAGGTAAAGTGGGAAGTAAAAGCGGCTTTCATGATGCAATCATATTATCACAACTAGTGTCGTGAGCCGCTACACACTACAGGATTTACTAAGAAGGGGATCCGAGCACTCATGGACCGAATGGTTCGACATGCAATGAGGATAATCTGTCGACTAATAAACTGACTGACTAAAATTACCTATCGAGGGCTGATTGGCCTAGACAAATATTAGTCTAGCCTCGTATGCCAGATGTGCCACTGGGGTGTGTAGGTATCTTTATCTTCTTTTTTTTTCTTTTCTTTTTTTTAAACCTTTCACAAAGATGAAAAAAAAAAAACATGTTCAGCTTACTTTGGAAGTTGCTGGTAACTTCCAGCATAAGCCTGGTATTTGAATTTGACTGTCTGAAGTTCACTTGTGTAGGTCTTCAGGCATTCCTTGACCAGCAGGTTGGTCACTTCTTGCTGAGCATTGGCCGGCACTGTGGACACTGTAGTTCTGATCAAGCGAGCCGGAGCTGGAGGCTGAGCAATCAAGTGTAAAGAGGAACAGTTTAATGCCAACAAAATGAGTCTTAGCTGGTACATATTAAATTCTTGGAAGGTCAAACAGAAAAATCACTTAACGAGTACCAACACTGCCCTGGCAGATTTTTATGAGGATTATGTTTATAGGTGGGGGTTTCAAACGAAAACCTTAAAAGTGTGGTAAAAACCACAAGAATCATGTCAGTATATGCTTCTCTTTGGTGCAGGTCACAAGTGGGGTGGCCTTTTTTAAACTTATTTTGATGTAACTGTGTTCGTTTGCATCATAATATCAAATGCTTAACACTCTTGAAATCCTTAACAACTATTTGCCAGAGTCTGCTTCTCTTTGGTGTAGGTCACAAGTGGGGTGGCCCTCTTTAAACTCATTATGATGTCACTGTGTTCGTCTGCATCATGACATCATATGCTAAACACTCTTGACATCTTTAACACCAATACTCATAGGCAGACAATGTTCAAACGCATATGCTCAAGACATGAAGAGGAGTAACATCAAAATTAAATCTTAGTAACACTCTACAGAAATGCAATATGTCATTAACACAAGCGACACAACTAGCAAAAGACAGGAAACCACACCTAACTCCTCTCTGTGACACTTTATGGCAATAAGCAGCAGGTCACATGCAAAAGACACGACAATGACATGGTTGTTGTCCTTTCTGTCACATTTTACAGGTTTTCAATTGAAGCCCACTCATATGTTTTCTCCTCTCGTCTTATTCACCCCCCCCCCCCCCCCCCCACCTGATGCCTTCTTTCTTTACACAGCGAGCTCTAAAATCTCATGGACCTCTTAGGCTTCCATCAATATCTGTATGTCTTCATCTACCTCATCCCCACAAAGCTAAGACTGATGAATGAGAAACAGATGTTTGAAACACATAGATAAAGATGAAGGTGAAGACCCTAGTCTCTTCTAAGCTGTCCAGATCACATAAGGCATGGGCACAAACTGGACACCTAAGATAAAATCAATCATGGCTTGAAGCAAAGCTGTAAGATGAACGAATGCCATGAAACTGAGCAAAGGTTCTTTACAAGAAATGTTTTTATTTTTTTGTAAAAAAAATTTTTTGTTAATAAACAATATAAATAAAAAGAGTTATTTATTCACCAGCTTCCCAAATTTTTTTGTTTGTAACTCCTTCTTTTTATAGCCCAAGCAATGGGGCACTGGTAATCATTTTGTCCAGATACTTCTGTCTGATGTGGGGGCTGTGTTAGCGCAGTCAATAGGAGACTCGCTTTCAAATTCAGCAGTGACTCGCTGCAGCCCACGGCCAGTGTTCGAAAACCAGGGCTGTTCCCAGGGTTCACCCAGCCTCTAGGTAATGGGTACCAGAGTTAACACTCTGGGGTAAATGGAGAAACGTCGCTGTAGGTGTAGCGTGCAGACGGCGACACAGGCACACAGTTTCTTATCAGCTGTCCGCACTGGTGGCAGAGCCACTTATGGTTTATAACCATGTGCAAAGACGCTGGTTCACATCTCCGACTTTATTTTTTTTTTTTTTTTACCTTTTCTGATACAGATGTTTTTATATGCCATGATAATTAACTGTCCTTCTCTCTTGGCCTCCTTCTGCTTTAACTTTCCAGTTTTTTACTTTAGATATATATGTAATCACAGATTGCTTTTGTAAGCCTTTTTTTTAAGTTCCATATTTGTTTGTTTGTTTGTACGTCTGGTATAATTTTTGCATTCCTTTTTTTTTTTTAATATTTATTTCATCAGTTTTATATTTGTAAATCAAATTCTATTCTTTAGGTACATAGTTCTGGAACAAAACTAAAGAGCTTTCTGCCTGTTTTACAGCTAATGAGCACAAAGAAGAAGAAAAAACATACAGTATTCAACTTTTCTCTTCTCTCCCTCTCACTTCTTTTAATTCATGTTCTTCCTGTCAGTGCTTACCGGAACTTCCACATCATCGTGAGGGAAGTTAAGCATGTCCCTCTGTGGATCATTGTGTAGCAGCACTTTATTCTTGACAACAAAGGTTTCATAGTCCACAGGCTCCACCAGCTTGGGGCGTGACTGAAACAGAACACACATCAATCACATTACAAGGAGAAAAATAAGGACAAGCTCTCTAGCTGGGGAATGCAGGCTGCATACCAATCACATTACAGACTGCATACTAGTCATGTTTCAAAGAACAGACTGCATACCAATCAGGTTACAAAGAACAGACTGCATACCAGTCACATTGAAAAAAAAAGGGACTGCATACCAATCATGTTACAAAGAGCAAACTGCATACCAGTCACATTTTAAAAAAAAATAGACTGCATACCAATCACGTTACAAAGAGCAAACTAAAGACAATCTCTCCACCGGGGAAAAGAGGACAGGAGTCCTGAAACAAGACTGCATACCAATCACATTATTAAGAACAAACTGCATACCAATCACATTATTAAGAACAAAAACTGCATACCAATCACATTATTCAGAACAGACTGCATACCTAAAACATTACAAAGAGCAAACTAAAGACAATCTCTCCAGCTGGGGAAAGCGGGCAGGGGTTCTGAAACAAGACTGCATACCAATCACATTACAAATAGAGTGGAGACCTGATAATGAGAACTCACCAGGAACCCAAGATATACTGGAAAGGGGGGGGGGGGGGGGGGGGGGGGGTAATCAGAAATATCTCTCAGACCTGAAAAGGAGAACTCACCGGGGACTCAAGATATAATGGTTTTTTTTTATTTGGATAAGAGTTGAAGCAAGACAAATTGTTGTGGATATATAAAATGTACTATAGACCATAAATTCGCCACATCCTAGATCGCCATAAATGGTCTGCACTGTAATTTACTGTTTTTGGACAACCTTTCCCTCCTTCCTGATGACAGTGCTTGGTTAACAACAGCCCAAGGTGATGACAAGTGTGGCTAGCAAGACTCGTGTGATGAAAAGACCACAGCACAAAGTGTAGGCAGCATTGCAGAGTCCATGTATTTCCCCCATTCAGTATGATCAATTCCTTGGCCTGCCTTGTTTACTCCAAAGGAAAAGGCAAACCACTTACACAAAGACAGTCTCTCTCTACTGTCTCCTACTGCTATGAAGCTAAACTGGCACTTACCAAGACTGTGCTCCGACTGACCTAACAAAAATTAGGGACCATTTTCCCACCACTAGCTTTCATGCTATAAGACCTATATTTCTATGGGTGTAGTCACAAAAGAGGGTGCGAAAATGTTCCATAGAACCTGTTCTGCTGTATGGCAGCATATCTTGGAATGTCAGTGAACAAATTAGGAAGAATTTTGAAGCAACAGAGATGTGGTTTCTGAAACCAATGTTACGAATACCTTGGGCGGACAGAGTAACTAACAACGATTGCTTGAAAGAAGCTAATGAAAGTAGGTCTCTATAAACAACAATAAGAAAGAGAAAAACGCTGTTCTTTGGCCACATAATGAGAAGAGAGACATTGGAGAACATCCTGACAACTGGAAAGATCAGTGGAAAAAGGGGTAGAGGCAGACCAAGAGAGATGATGCTGGATGGGCTGAAACGATGGCATTGAGGGATATCATCAAGAGAGCTGTTCCAGGCCACCAGGGATCCTGATCTATGGAGACGCATAAGCGCCTACGCCAGTTGGCAGGGCACATGATGATGAAGTAATCAATATCATGCCAGCCACCATTTCTTCTCACTAAAGTACCCATTTTTTCGGTGGCTTTATCTAATTTAAAAAACACAAATCAATGGCGTCAAACAATTCACATTCAGGTAGCAGCATAAAAAAAAAATTGTGATTTTTACAGCTTTGTGTGTGTGTTTTATGTATGTGTGTTCAGTTCAACATACAACCGAGTCTGAATGTTAAAGCACAAGTGTATGCTATGCGCAAGTGTGTAAAGCTGGGTACTTGTATATATATATATATATATATATATATATATATATATATATATATATATATATATATATATATATATATATATATATATATATATATATATATGTGTGTGTGTGTGTGTGTGTGTGTGTGTGGGAGAGGGAGAGAGAGAAAGAGAGGGGCGGGGATGAAGGAAGGAAGGAGAAACCAAGGTAATTTGTGTGTGTGTGTTTTATGTATTTCTACAGCCGAGTCCCCCCCAAGTGTATCTATGAGCAAGTGTGTAAAGCTGGGTACGTGTATATATAATATATATATATGTGTGTGTGTGTGTGTGTGTGTGTGTGGAGAGAGAGAAAAAGAGGGGCGAGGATGAATGAAAGAGGGAGAGAGAGAAAAAGAGGGGCGGGGATGAAGGAAGGAAGGAGAAACCAAGGTAATTTCTCAGCGCATCCCCCCCCCCCCAAATAATAATGGAGGCGGGGAAATTAAAAACAAAAAAAAGTATGAGAACAAGTATTAAAAGAAACAACAATCTTGGACACAAAGTTTATTTTTCAAACACCCCATAGAATCACTAATGTTGAACTTTGGGAGAGAACTAAGCAAACTCCAGCGGATCAAGAGGTGAAGAAAAGACGCTAGCGTTGGATAGGACACCCACTGAGAAAACCGGAGAACAATATAACTAGAATGTCTTTGCATTGGAACCCACAGGAGCAAAGAAATAAAGGAAGGCCAAAAAACACATGGAGAAGGGAGCAGGGGAATGCAGTTAGAAAGATGGGGAGAACATAGAGAGTGCGGCATGCGATAGCAAAGGATTAAACGACTTGGCGTAAGTTGGTTGAAGGCTCCATTGGGGGCCAGAAAGGCCGAAAAAGAAGAAAAAGACCTAACAATTCCCCCTAATTCCTCAACCAGCAACACAAACTCACTCACTCTACTACAACCGCCGAATCCGTTCCTATCAAACACCAGCACAGACTGCTGATGGTCGCAAACAACGGGCAAGGGGCCACTACTCTCCACATGGATGCGTCTTCGTCTGCGCTTGACCTGTTGCTGCAATGCTGTCTTGGACGGGAGAGTGACCGGCAGTGACCTGTTTCTCAACATCGAATGTTTTTTAACCCTGGCCCGTCTCACTGTTGAGCAGGGCCCGCCGAGAAGATTATTAGGTGCTGGAACAAGACTAATATGGGCCTGCTCACCACTCAATAGAAAATACATCAAACAAAGCTGCGCGGTGGTTTTGCTTTACACAATTAAAATACAGTTTTGTAACAGCTGTTCCGGTTATTAATACGATGGTCTTCCCATTTACACACCACCGGTTGTAGATCAACTACATAGATACGTTGGTTGGACTAGTTCTACCGTGGTCGAGGTTATGGATGTCGCAGTCTGTTGTTGTCTGGGTGAATTTTACGCTGGTCTCCCCATTATCGCATCACCGGTTGTAGGTCAACTCCATTGATACGCTGGTTGGGCTAGTCTACCGTGGTCGAGGTTATGGGTGTCGCAGTCTGTTGTTGTCTGGGTGAATTTTACGCTGGTCTCACCATTAGCACATCATCGGTTGTGTGTCAACTCCATTGATAAGTTGGTTGGACTAGTCTACCGTGGTCGAGGTTATTGGTGTCGAAGTCTGTTGTTCTCTGGTATTTACGTTTATTTCAGAGAAAGTAACGGCCTGTGACATAGGTTTTGTCACTACCTTTAGGGGTTGTGTGTTAGACCCAGTATCTAAATGTTTTTTAAAGGGTTAAAAGCTCTGGCACTGTGCAATATACAACACGCGCTATCAGCGCGAGTGCGCGATGTCCCCGTGACCTTGGGTGGTAGTCGGATCGCTCGCAACCGACCTATCAGAGGTAAGCTGGTCAGTAAGTCGTCCAATCAGGAACGAGCTAGTGTGTAGCGGTGTGTAAATGGGTAGACGAGCGTAAAATGTACCGTTGTTCCTTCATGACCCCCTCCCCCTCCCCCGTTTTTGAGCTCGATGGGTCCCAAACAATGTATCTCCTGCACCCCCACCCCCCCCCCCCCTTTTCTCCTCAAGCCTGCTGTTGACACCGATTCTTTAAACCCGACACTTTATGCTCAAATCTGTACTGAGGTTCAATAAACATGTCCATTCCGAGACTGTTTGTTACATGCACGCCAGACGAATATCAGCGTTTTTCTATTATGCATCTGAATAACAAAACCGTGTGAAAAACAAGTTGTGTATTGATTGTCTGGTTTGCTGGCGCCTGCACTAGACGGCATCAAATATGAACGTGGTAATTCTCGTTCAAAGTTAGGAGGGCTGAGTTGAGCTGAGTGAAAACCGACATCACAGCCCTCAGAATATCTGCCCCCCCCCTTTCTGCTCCGTCCCTCACTTCAGCAGCCAGAGCAGAGATCCAAATCTAATAAGGCTATGAATGGAAACAAGGAACAATAGTCCATGTAGCTTGTTTCAGTTTCTTAAATCGTTATGAACTGAGCTGAGTTGAGTCAAGAATTGACAACACAGCACTTGGGGCATTTCCATGCATGCACCGTCCTTATCTCCAGCAGCCAGTGCAGAGTTCCAATACTAAATGTACCGGTTGTAATCTGGTTATATGTCTGTCTTGCCTTTCTCCTGAGTGCAGTCAGCTGTCCAGACCCTCTAGTTACCCTCATTCTATCCAGTCCAAAATAATCGTGTTTCTCTTCTGACTTCGTTACTTGCTCACAAAGGGCCTTGACCACATCTGCCTGTCATGTATCAATTCACCACCCAGTGGTGCAGATCCAGCCAATCTGTCTGCCTGTTCATCCCCCACCATGCCGGTATGGCCTGGTGTAAAGATCCAAAGTATGCTCACTACCCGTGACCTTCCATTTCAAGAAAGAGATGGGTGGAGGCAGTAAAGAGGACCCAAAAATGCAGTATAATATTAACATGAGCCACGGCCTTCTCTGTTTATCCTGGAGCTGGTCGTGCATGAGCTAGACAACTAGCCATAACTCCTCTCTGTGATGTTTACCGGCCGGGCTATTCAAGTGGTGAGTCGCAAGCAAGACCGACCCCAGCAGAGGTATAGCAAGTGGCCCTCGATCATTGCCAAATGTATTGTACTAATGATCTTTCTGTGCCGGGGCGGTCCTGTTCACGTTTCCCGGCCCATCTTCACACTAC